CTTTTGTCAGTGAAGTTTCTTCTTCGTTTGGACAAATTTGCTTGCGTGTTGTGATTCACGGTCAGCTTTCTTCTGATGTTGGTTGACTCTGTTGTACCTTACATCTCTTCTGATGTTGCGCAAACACGACTTCCAATTTCAAGGGCGGCATTCCCTGACGTCACACCAATCACGTAGAGCTATTACACCCGATCCTAAGAAGTCAGAGACTACTTTAAGCAATACGACCTAAGAACATCCCTAGAATTTTGCTGGCACTTTCTTTAGGCTTACCCAAAGCTTTAACATATAAACATTTTGTAAGTGTCCATCAGTCTAATGCAAGCGGTGTTCTCAACCTTAATCTTCTTGATTTTCAACATATTACATCTCTTCCTGTTCTTTGGTTAACAAATATGTCCCAGACAAATTCGGTAAATGAATCGAGTACTATCTTAATTAATAGCACAATTTATTTTTGACCATTTAGGCTGACATTCAGCGCATGGAATTAAAAAAACCTTGTTTCATTCCCCAGTCGGCCGCTTCTTCCTTGAAGAAGCTATATCGTACATGAAACCGCATTTACTCCCACTAAGGAGAAATTTTATTGACCAAATTATTGGTTCCTGGTCTTACTAATTACCCAAACGAAAGTGACTCGTCACCATGCATAGGCTAGCTAACTGTCTGTGCATCGAACATTTTGTTTAGTAAGGCCCTTGTTTAGTTCATTTAGCCTCGTTAATAAACAAAGCAACTATGGACCTCCTTTGTTTGAACATTACCGTTGTAAACTAAACGCTTGTACAGTCACGTCAGTTGTTTTAAACTGTAAACCCTCACAGAATGTGAACACGAACAGTTTTCGGAGAAAGGATCTTCGTCAGGCCGTTCTGCACATAACAATTCCTTTGAGCTTAAAAAGCTGCTGCAACAGCAACTGTAGCTACGTTTTCCGGCATTTACTGTAATATTCATTGATTCAAGAACAAAAGAAATTCATCGCGTGAACTTTGAAAAACTACGTTCAATATCTGTAACTAGCATAAGTTTCGTGGGAAGAAGAGAGCACTACTTGCGAACAGATTTTTCCATTAAAATCTTTCGCTGCAAGTTCACTTATGTTCATGAATTGAGAAATTGGTTTGAACGTTCTTATTTTCAATGTTTTCTGAACCTTTTATTCTAGCAATTTGCGTCATGATGTTTTGATCTACATTTGAAGAATCCGTGGGAATTTTTGCAAAGACCGCAAAATTAACATCAATCAATCAATTTTTTGAGTACTTGAAGAGTCCGCAGCTTCGATTACAGCAAATAATGAATAAAAATCGAATACAAAACGTAATATTTCAGTATAAACAATTGATTAGTGCAGTAAATCTATACATAACTAATAATAGTGACAATAAATTTGCTGTTTAGCAGTTTTCTTTTTTCAATTTATTTTGCTAGAGATTGAACGCGATCGCAGTTAACGTAATTTGACGCTCTTGTCAACGACTGTTTTATTGGTCGCTTTTAACAGTCCATTTGTGCATTAATGAGATACAGACAGGAGATGTTGACAGTAATCAGTGATTAGTAAGGTCACAATACAGTAATTACTGGGTATTCTCTCAAGACATTCATGTCACCTGTATGTTGAGTCTAAGACCTTTAATTGAAGACTCTTCAAGACTCCTAGATAGTAAGGTACTGTAGAGGAATAGTCTGCATTGAGACGTCTCTTATTTTCTGAGGCTATCGAGGCCGGAATGTATCGATCGTCTAGGAACTCGTCCTTACCAGTTATTGAATCCGTTACTAAGTGCGCGGGGGAGTTTGAAACCAAAAAAATGTATGTTAGGTAAGCGAGCTTCCGAACATTATTTTAAGAAAAGGGTCTTTCTCATGGGAATGAGACACGTATTCTAAAAAATTTGAACAAAGGCTAAGAAAGGCGCACTCTAACTGTGCGTGTCTCAGTTAAACGAATGACGAAGTTTTATCCAAGGGGCAAGGTTAAAATCAAATGGGCTATTCGACACTATTTGGTATCTTTTTGAAAAACTAAATGATTTTTTTTCCAATTTCAGTTTTGCTAATTAAGACTACTTTAAATTTTTGAAACTGTCGATTGTTTTCTGTCTCAAAGGATGGCAAGGAATTGGACATGGATTCAGTAAATTTGAAAAAATCGGGCCTGCAAAAACCACTAGAAAAATTATAATTATTATTGTCAGTCATCCCTGATGTAAATTCGTTTGATATCTTATTTATAACACCAAGGGAGCATTTGTATGTGGGTAATTAAAGGCACTAAGCTAAGACTTCATGATCAGGACTACAGAATTGAACTAAAACAGCAACATCCTTATGACAATAGCCCCTTTATTTTGGACTCCGTCTTACAGACAGTGTCGTGAGAGAGAAGATGTTGGAACGTCTCCATTCTAGAGTTCTGTAAACCAGTATCTTCCAATTCCTTCACTGTCATTCGGCAGGAGACGAGCAAAATCAGAATCATTCATGCTTAATCACGAAAACTGTATTTGATATGTTCTTTATAACTATGTCTGTTTTATGACTTTCCATACCTCATGGATGACTTCTCAACACGCAATGCTCTTAAAATAAATACTATATTCTTCAGTCTGTGCAACGAGTAAAACCTTTTTTGCAGTATTTAGCAAGAGTTAAAGGACAGGATAGTTTTAATGACAAACGACTGCAGAGATGTATTTATTTCAAAGCACTGGGCAATGGTATTTTCTACAACCACACTTAAATTAAAGCAAATACAACTTTGAAGGTCTTTTACCACTAGAATGATCTTATTCTCCCAGCATTAACGCATCCTATTGCCCAAAGGTTCGGTATATCAAGATGTAAGTTCTACGTTTCAATTAAACGGCAACACTTCTCTTCCAAGTCATTTCTGGCTACTATCCAAAGTTTTCTCATTGTCAATTCTGGTTACCTTTTTTCGAGTTACGTAACTTTTAAAAAAGATGTTTCGGGAAACTTGTAGATGGCGGTAAACTGCAAAGATCACACCCTTTGGTTCGGCACGGTGTGTTCTTCAAATAGTGGTATTGGCTATGATGTTTGATAATATGCTCTGAGCTGATTTAGGAGTTAATTCTGAACCTCACCCTTGCATTCCATCCCCCGAAGGGTCGTCAGCACCAGACGGGCTATATCTCAGTTATTTTGGGAAATAAAAAACGTTTGCAGACGTAATAGTTTGGCCTAATAAAAAACCGCAAAATTTAAAATGACTGTAAACCGCGGCGGGCTATAGGTAAGAGTGACCTTTGCAAGCGGTGTTTGTTGGATAAATGTCGGTACATTAATAAAATACAAAAATGAAAACTTCGCCGATATTTTTACTTGATATCGTGCCCATGATTAAATGAAAATATTTCGGTATTGTTGGTATTGGTAAACAACAAGCAACGCGCCGTGGAAAGTGTCAAAGAATGGGTGGGAATCTACCCTCAATTAAGAAATCAATCCTCCTTGGGTTATTCCGGACAATATTCCGCCTACAGCATATAATCCCATAGTCAAGGCCTTACTTCTACATCTGGTATTATTGCTAGACGTATATTGTATCAAGTTCTGTTATATATAGGTCTTACTTCTTCACAGTGCTTTGGGTTAAGGGCTTCTAATAAAGTAACTAAGATCAATTTAATTGGCAGTGTAACCATATAATGAGCTAGAGAGAGATTTCGCCAATTACCTTAGTTAAATGATGACGGTGAAATGCTTCTACAAGGAAATTTCGACAAAGATGCTTATGGTCCGACTTGTGCCAGCCCGCTCCCCAGATCTCCGGCCTGTCGAAGCACACCTGGCCTCTTCTTTAAAACAGTTCCCACATGAATTCATCTTTTCTCAGAAAATATTGAAATTTGTGAGCATAAAGTCCTACAATATCTTCTCATTCTTTAACACTGTAAACCTGTAAACCTGTAAACCTTTTTCGTGATTAACTATGTTGGCTTGTCATCTTGGCCAAATCAACTGGAATCGATTGACTTGCCTTTATAAGTAGGAGCCAGTTTCTAACGTCCGCCTGTAAACCGTCGGCTTAAGCTGAATCCTGTGGTTTGACTGAGAAAGTCAGATATGAGTTCTGTTTAATTACTGGTTTAATCTCGGTTTTTGGTATTCTATTTCCTAGAATGGCAGTGCCAACGTCTTTCTAGCCACCAGCTGTAAGCCACACATTTTCATCTAACTGCATGTGATGGATTACTATGATTAAGTCTTAACTCAGTTCAGTTGTGAAGTTGAGTCGATTATCCGGTCAGTGTTCTCAGTAAATTATTTTAAAGAAGTGTGTAATTTGACGTTTAACTTAACTGCGTCAACAGCACAGGTATGCTAAACCAATACATTTCTTCTAACTAGGCATACTGTCACTGGGTAATTTAAAGCTGTTCAGAGCAAATTATACACTTTCTGAGTGAAAGAGTAAGTGAGTCAGTCAGTCAGTATGCAAAGAAGACTTCTCACTTCTTTTTAATTCGCCATACCTTTACAAGTTGGTGTAGAAGCAAAGCACAATGTGTTTTCTCTACCGATGTACCTGAAAGCCCGAACCTTGAAAATTGAATTGAATTGAAGTGAATTGAATTGAAGTGAAAACGTCATAGCAATTTATAATTAAACCTTTAGTGACCTAAAATCCTTTGTTAAATTTAAAGTTTTTAAAGAGTTGGTTTCAGCTACCATAAACGATTGTGATGAAAAATCACAATACCATATTTAGAAATTAGATATAAGATAAAAAACTTAGGGGTGATTGTGAAAAAAAATGGCTCAACAAAAACGATTTGGAAAAATGAAAAACGCCCGATTCTCTTATTGTTCTGTTCATTTTAATCTAACCCATCACTTAATTCCAGGTCTATAAACGGCTTTCGGAGTATTACGTTCTAGCGAAAGTAAGTTTCGATTAACAAAAAAACCGGAGTTTAAAATATCAGTGAACAGATAAACTCTTCCTTATATACGGTCAATAC